TAACATTTATTTATTTTAGGGGTTATAGAGTTACAAAAATAAATATCATAAGTTATCATAAATTATGACATAAGTTATGAGTTAAGAAAATAAATAACTTAAGTTATCAAAATAAATATCATAAGTTGTCATAATTTATGACATAAGTTATGAGTTATGAAAATTAATAACTTAAGTTATCAAAAATAAATCTCATAAGTTATTAAAATAAATGTGAGTCATAAATAAAAATATAACAATATAAACACAAACAAGACCATTATCTGGCTTAAATAATGTTTGAAAAATATATTTGAAAAAACTTTTAAGCATTTCTTTTAATATGATTCGAATCATTTTAGGACATATTTGATTAGGATTCGATCCACATGAAAACTATTTTAACATGATTCGAACTTTTGGACATAGTTTGATCAATATTTTAACAGGAGTCGTGTTCGAACATGGTTCAAACATGCTTTGAATAAAATTCAATCCTCTAACCCTCTGTTAGGTCTTCATGAAAATTTCTTCGGCTCAAAATTTGGGCTATCAAAACAGCCCGTTGTTCGTGAACATCTCGTGTTTGGCTCGTTAAGAAGCTCGTGCTCGATTCGTTCGCCGAGTTAACGAGCCAAACACAAACACTTTTTGGGCTCGGTATATAAACGAGCCGAACACAAACATATATTTGTTCGTTCGTGTTCGACTAGTTTTAGCTCGAAAAGACTACTCACCAATTACATATTGATGAGTAGTATTTTAAAAAAAATTAAATGACTAAAAGGCTGCAATTATTTTTAATCAATTAACATTAGTAAATAAAAATAGAATACAAATATATTAAATTATATTTAAATAATTTTTTAATGTAAACAATAAGATTTAAATCTTTTCTCAACCTTTAACATTCTATGACTACGTGATTATGGTTGTTAAAACGAGTATACTTTTAGTGTTCAAAATATAAACGCGTCGAACACTAACAATGATATTTTTTAACGCCCCTGCTCAAAATAATACACAAATTATTACACAATAGCTTGGAACATATGAAATAATGTCGTTCAAAGGCTAAAAAAGACTTGACCCTCAACCATTGAAATTGGCCTTAAAACTAATTTATTCTCACAAGTTCATGACCAGTGAAATCTCACCGAAATGATAATAAAAAATACCTGAACTTTGATCATTTTTATTACGTGTACCGACTGCACGTCTGGATGACGGTCTGAATAGACAGTCATGTGATACCTTACTCCGTGGTCACATATGAACTATCGTAGATTCAGACGTACAACCTGTCACATATAACAACTTTTCATTTGATCTTCTCCAGACACACTCAACTAATGTAACACTAGCGTCCCTCGAAGCACATCAACCCGACTCACATGTCTTCCTCTAAAATCTGTTTGTTCTCTTAACTCAGGCCTCACAATTAGGTGCTGCTGCAGGTTTTTTTCCACTAGTAATTACAAGCTGCCTTTTCACATATCATTTTCCATAATCCAAATCTGGCTACCTCGCTAGTTTATATATATATATATATATATATATATATATATATATGAAAAAAGCTTATTATTATGGCCTGATTAGTGCATAATCCAGCGGGTGACCACACCGCAGCGTAGCGCACACGTGTTTTTTTGCATAGATCCAGTGGCGCCGCCTCGGCATGATACCGCGTCAGCTCCCGCACGTGCCCGCTCGCCGTAACGGTACTTATCACTCGTCGCCACGTGGTGAATCTTCCACCATCGGATGCTCATTCCGAAGATCCGATCTAGCATGAGAGAGATTTATTCGGGGGTAGAAATGTAAAAAAGAACTCTTAAATGCGATCCGACTTTAGCCACCAAACCTCGTCGTACGGCCATAAAGTAGCGAGTAAAGAGGGGGGAGTTCCTACGGAAGCTCGACAGCGAGGCCCCTTGTAATCTCCGTATTGGCAACTTTACCTTGCTAATTCATGTACTTGCAATTTTATGTTTTTCAAGGGTGGTTTTTGTGAAATAATTTGGAGGAGGAGGGGGCAAGTTATAATTTGGAAAGAGAGAGGGGGGCAAAGGGACAGATGGCAGTGTTGTGCATGAGAAGAGGTGGTAGGAATTGACGCCGCCCATCTTCTATTCCCATTCGCTGTCTCTGTCAGCTCATTCCATGAGAGAAATGTCACAAGTTTTATGAAAAATCAATTTTTTATTCGTTGATGGAGCAATTAATGTAATAATAATAAAAAAAAAAGTTTAGGTATGTAGAGATCCTTTGCGTAATAATGGTAGTTATTTTTATGGCATTTTTTGTTCCACTTTATATGATAGGATCCAAGGAAATTGTGACAATAGAATATTGGGGCATTTACATACAATGGGCAAAAAAAATTTTATGTATTTTATGTTTAATACCTAAATTTTTTATATTTATATTCATAATAGTTTAATTTTTAAATATAAAATATTAAAGATATTATAATTATTAAGTGTGAATCTTTTGAGTGAGAAATACTCAAATTTTGATAAAAAGACATCCATAACTCCAACGAGTTTAAGATCATTCAATTCTGACATAATTAAGCTACTCAAATGTTCAACAAATGACGTCTGATCGAGAGAAGCCCTCATAACCATCTGATCAAAGTGATTTATATTCCTACATTAATTGCACCAAGACCTATATAAATAGATTCTCACCCTTGTCACGAGGCTTGAGAAAGAATTTGAAGCTTTGAGAAAAAACTGAAGTCCAACACCACTCCTGTTTTCGTCGACCAACACAGACCACTCTCGACCACGTTAGGAGTGCTAGGAGTGCTCAGTGGTTGTCAACAATGGGAAGGTGGTGGTCGATGACCTTTGTCAACCACCACCGTCGATCGTTGTCGACCACTACCAATCAGACTCCACCAATTGCTATCGGTCGCGACCCGTCGATGTTATAACTTGGGAAACCTAACAACCATTTTCCCTCGTCTGAGACAAGTGGTTTCAACTGTAATAATCTTTTTATAGCGGAACTTTCAGCTGTGTTAGGCCTCGCGGTTTTTTCCTTTTCGAGTTTTTTCATATGAAAATTTCATGTGTCATTATTAGTTGCTTTCTCTTTTCTAAGTGTGTTGTATTTTCATATCATGCTAAGAAGATAATCTGCTACTCTACTGTCACAAATGTTCTAGTGCGCAAAAATTACTTTTTTTTTTTAAAGTGAAATACATATTTTCATTTATATATTTAAGACACCAAAATCTTATAAAAGTTAAGATATTAAGTGTGTAAATGTATACTTATTGTGGGATATGTATCTAAATCCCTCTAAATTATTCTTAATAATGATAGTCGAATTGTGTACACAACAATATCATCAATACTAGTAGAGTTGGGACTATCAAAATGGTAACAATAAACTTAATTTTATTCTACATTTAATTAGCCCTCCAATAAGAAAAAGATAATTTAATTTTACTTAGATCCTCATTCATTATAGTTAATATTTTATAGCTCTAATTCTAGCAATAACAATACATAAAAAAGTTGCATTAAATAATTATATTATTTTATATTTAAAACATTTATTATAAAGTGAAATAAGTAATAGTTAATGTATGAGGGCATAAATAATCTATCCTATTTAAGAGAGTAAATTTTACAAGGGTACAAATATGTTCGATTTCAATGAATTGATGTTATTTTCACTCATTTAATGCTCAATAAATATGAATATCTTGAGATCAACAAACTAAAAAGCCTGCTCATTTATGATTGAGATGAGCAAAACACAATTAAACATAATAATCTAATTATAATCATCCAATACATTAAAATTTTTTAAATAAATACATCAATTATATTAAAAAGCTTGTTAATTACATTGAAAATTTTTCATTAAAGACATCAGATTATGTGATAATGTTTGTTAATTTTATAGTACATTGAATAGTTTAATAAATTCTTTGAGGTGATATTAAAATGCTCATAGGCCATAAGCTCACTGAAATTGAAATATGATTTTAATATACTATTAATGGATAATGCACATATATACATACATACATACATACATACATTTGCATATATTTTACTTATTTAATGAGTGTCAATTATTAGTAGTTAGTATATTAAAATAAATTATTTATAAATATAAAGTTTTTTGTTATCTTTAATCTACTTGTATGGAGGTACCAAAAATAATTAAGAACATTAAACTAAAATTTGATCAACAAAAATACACGACACTTTACATGCATACATAAGCATCCACTTTTATAGAAAGAAAATATATACCAGATAAGTGATAGATGTTGTAGTGGAGCGGAAGCGTCTGTTCAATCGACGGAGTTTCGTTAAGTGGGTTGAGGGTGCGGGGACAATGCCCTCCACGGCACGGTACATGGGTAATTTCGTAATTACATATTATACACTCGGGTAACCCTAATGGTATGTACTACTTTTTCGTGAAATCAGAAAGCTGCAGCTCTTGCTTCTGATGACGTAAGCAAATTGACAATCCTCATTAAATCAGTGTGTTAATTCTTGTGTTTGTTGATTCTTGCGTTGATTTGCCCTAATTTCTCAACAAAATCCCATGAGAACTTGCTACAAAAACTAAGTGAAACTCATTACAAATTTCATCATTCATCAAATACAATCTACAAGAATTAATTTTACTTTCTGAAGAGAACTTCCATCCCGAAGAGCATCCATGGAACCATTACAAAGAAGTACACAACTGAGTAATAGCAGTCCCTCCAAGAAGATAGATACAAGAACCATAACTTAAACTCGTCCAAAATTTTCACTAAACGGTTCTCACAAACCAGTTATGATGTGGATTCAAAGCCTTCCACCATCTTTTAATTAAGAGGTAACCCAACTCAGCAACTCAGTCACCGATTCCCATTTAGCAGAGAGAAACTGACCAGAAGATTTAAAAGTCCCGGGCTTTAAATTGCGTCGGTTACCCTTACCTCCCTCTCATTACTCTCCCCCTCTCTCTCTCTCTCTCTTCAAGAGAAGAAGGAAGCAGAGCAAAGCTCGGCGGGGAGAGAGAAAGAGTAGGGAGGGAGAGTGAGGAAATAAATTCACAGCAGAGCCGGAAATTAATCGGTGCGTAATAAGGGGGGATGTTGGGGAGAATCGGTTTGGATTGCCGCCGATCTCTGCAGCTCGGCCGCGGCGATTTCCATTTCTGGGAGGAGCCACGGCCTAAGTTAGAGGAGAAGAGTGGGGGAGGAGGAGGGGATTGGAGTCTCAAGGAAAAGCACGCGTTTTCAAACGCTTTCCGTCGTTGAGCGCAAAGTTCTTATATGTACTTGTTCCATGAAGATTCAGTGGCGCCCAGGCTATAAGAGGAAAGTGGTGAGGCTGGGGTAGAGAGAGAAAGAGAGTGTGGACGGAACTCTGCTTTTCGGAGAAACAAAAAATAAGAAAAAAAAACGATTTTTTACGAAGAAGAAGAAGAAGGGCGGGATGGATTCTGGTGACGAGCAGGATGTGACGGAGTCGAAGGGGAAGAAAAAGAGATATCATAGGCATACACCGCGACAGATTCAGGAACTCGAAGCGTACATATATATATGCTTTTCATCTTCACATCCTCGTCTTTGTTTTCTGGAGAAAATCCCAACTTTTTTTTCTGTTTGTTTGTTGGATAGAATGTTTAAGATGTGTCCGCATCCGGATGAGAAGCAGAGGATGCAGTTGAGCCGGGATTTGGGGCTTGAACCGCGGCAGATCAAATTTTGGTTCCAGAATCGAAGGACTCAGATGAAGGCAACAAATTTTTTTTTCTTTATTTTTTATGTTTTCTTTTTTCATCTTTTTTTGCAGAAATGATTGGTTTTTTTTTTAATTTAATTGCGGAGAGAGCTAAAAACACGTTGCCTTTGGTTCAGACTCAACACGAGAGAGCTGACAACTGCGCTCTTCGTTCGGAGAACGACAAGATCCGGTGCGAGAACATCGCCATGAGTGAGGCGCTGAGGAACGCAATTTGCCCGACATGCGGCAGCTCTCAAGAAGCCGAGGATTCTTACTTTGATGAGCAGAAACTGCGCATGGAGAACGCCAGGTTAAAAGAGGAGGTGATGGCTTGTTTTTATATAAATTAACTGGCTTTCTCATAAATTTTCAGTATTTTATTATGTAATCTGCATTTCACAAACATCAGCAGCATCTATCTTCTTCTTTTTTTTATGATGGTTTAAGCTGCATTTTTACTTTGATCGAAGTGTGTGCAACTGACTGATTGTTATTGCTGTCTCGAACTTTCAATCTGCTAAGATTGGCATGTGGCGCAATTTATTATTATAGTTGGGTGATATTGAGTAATGTGTATTTAATCATTACATGCAGCCTTCAAAATGGTACATTTAATGCTCTGCTTTGATCGCTTTGAAGTTTTTTCAAATTCTACAAGTTTATGTTTTCATTACTTGATTGGATGGTAATAAGTTTTATATTTCAGAAAAATAATTATGAATCAAACCGAGGATTATGGTGCTCACCTTGTTGTATTATATATCTTGTCTTTATTTTTCTATTTTCCTTGTCAGACTAAGCTGAGCAAAACTACTGTAATTAAACAATATATTTGGTTTAAGATTTGGATAAATAAAAGCCACTTTCTTGTGCTTTGTTCAGTATAACTATAACGTCTCTGCACAAAACTTTGCTTTTAATTCCAAGCACATAACATTGTGGCCTTTAAATTTTGCTTTTTTATGCAAAATTGCTTGCAAATATAAGTTTGCGCTTAAATTTGGGAACTTAATGTCTTTAATCCTTAAAAGCTTGAAATTTGATATGTATTGTGACGTGTTCTGCTATTTTTACTTTTGTTTTTTAATCTTAATGTCAACTTTTATCTCTCTATTTCAGCTTGATCGGGTATCCACAATTACATCAAAATATCTAGGAAGGCCAATCACGCAACTTCCTCCAATCCAACCTTTATCAGTTTCCTCTCTGGATCTCACTGTTGGTGGCTATGGGAATCCAGGCTTCACCCCTTCTCTCGAAATTGATCAGCTCGGTGTTGTCCCTGCAGCCATGGCATTCCCATTCCTCACAATTTCTGAAATTGAAAGGCCTATGATGGTGGAGCTCGCGACACGATCCATGGAGGAGTTGATCAGGCTTGCACAGACTGATGAACCTCTCTGGACCAGAATCGGCATTGATGGAAGAGAAATTCTTGATCTCGAAACCTACGAAAGGATTTTTCCCAGACCAGCACAACAGTTCAGGTCTCCTGATGCCCGAGTTGAGAGTTCCAGAGACTCAGGAGATGTGATGATGCATTCTCTAGCTTTGGTTGACATGTTCATGGACTCAGTGAGTTGTTTTTTACTGTTTTCCTGAAATATAGAGTTCAGTTGTCATAAAGTTCTAATCTTTTAGGGGAAATGGATGGACCTATTCCCAACAATTGTCTCAAATGCGAGAACTGTTGAAGTCCTCATGCCTGGAATGGATGGAAGTAAAAGTGGAGCCTTAGTTTTGGTGATAAGAAAAATCCTAAACAGTCATACATTTCTTTCTCCTTTTGTTTTTCCATGGATTCTATTGGGTATATCTAATTCATGAGGGTGCAGATGTATGGTGAATTCCTTGGGCTATCACCCGTCGTTCCGCTGCGCGAATTTTGCTTCCTCAGATACTGTCAGCAGATTCAACAAGGCCTGTGGGTGATCTCAGATATCTCCATTTTCTATCCAAAGGAAAACCAGCTTCCTTCTTCCTCCAAGCGTAGGCTCCCTTCGGGTTGTTTGATTCAAGACATGCCGAATGGGTACTCTAAGGTAATTAATGAAGCCATGAATATGTCTGTTTTTCTTCTTCCTTGGATTCTCTGATCTCCTTTTTTTTAAAATCAGCAGGTAGTGTGGGTTGAGCACATGGAGATTGAAGAGAAGAATCCAATTCACCAGCTCTACCATGATCTGGTTGATAGTGGGATAGCCTTTGGAGCTCAGAGATGGGTTGCAACTTTACAGAGAATGTGTGAGAGGATAGCATGCCTAATAGTGACTGGCAGCTCTCCTAGAGACCTTGGTGGAGGTATAAATATTTATATGGAATATACTTTTCTCAATAGTAAGCAGAATCATTGATTCTGCAAGTTGGTTTTTTAATCTCTATGGCTTTACTTACAGTAATTCCGACGGCTGAGGGGAAGAGGAGCATGATGCGACTTGCCCAGAGAATGGTGAGCAACTTCTGCTCCACACTCGGCTCGTCGAACGGTCATCGTTGGACGGCGCCGGCCGGGCTTAATGATGTCGGAATTAGGGTTACCGTTCATAAGTGCTCGGATCCCGGCCAGCCAAACGGAGTCTTTCTCAGCGCCGCCACCTCTATATGGATGCCTTTCTCCCCTCAAGCAGTCTTCAGTTTCTTCAGAGACGAGCGGTCTCGCGTTCAGGTTCTATATTGCTTTTAAAATCTCATGCAAAACTGGCAAATTAATGTTATTTTGATTTTCTCTTATAAGTTTGTTAAGTTTGTTTTTTTTTTTTTAAAATTGAAGTGGGATGTTCTATCAAACGGCAAAGCAGTTCAGGAAGTAACACGCATTCAAAATGGTCAGCATCCAGGAAATTGCATCTCTCTTCTTCGAGTAATCATCTAAAACCTGATCAAAGTCCAATTTTTATACTCAAATTTATCATAATTGGGTAACTATTCCATTCCCTCATCTGTCTTCTTTCAAAAAATCAAACAGGCGGCAATGAATCCAGCTAACCCCAATGAAGGAAACATGCTGATACTCCAGGAAAGCTGCACTGACTCTTCAGGTTCACTAGTGGTGTATGCATCCGTCGACCTGCCGTCGATCAACATAGCCATGAGCGGCGAAGACCCGTCGTTTATCCCTCTCCTTCCATCGGGATTCATAGTGCTTCCCGACGGCCGTCCGGGCACCGGAAGCGATGCATCTTCAAGCTCAAATCCCATGGGAGGATCCTCTGGCTCGGTGCTCACAGTGGCGTTCCAGATCATGGTGAGCAGCCTGCCATCGGCGAAGCTGAATCTCGAGTCAGTCGCGACGGTAAACCACCTCATCGGCGCCACGGTGCAGCAAATAAAGGCTGCATTGAGCACACTCGGCGCCTGAGAAGATGTTGGCAGAGTGAATCAGAGATAGTTTGTTCAGCTCTGCAGTGGGTATAAATTTTTATTTTATTTTTCTTTTGATGTGCATATAGGCATGTATGTAGGCGCCTGCTGAGATTGTTTTAGCACTTAGATCTTCTTTGATGTTCACATTTAAATTCCTTTTTCAGCTTCTAAAATTGTAGTCAGCTGAACATTGTGCATCTCTCACTGAGACTGATTGTTCCTGACATCTTGTAGTTTCTATATTTTGTTTTTTTTGAATTAATCAAAAGAAAGGTTTTTTACTGTCATTTTTATGAAGATTTTCATGTTTAGATTACTTCTTAGTGCCATTCATTTTAGGATGTATGTGTAATATAGCTTTTTGTTGTATTAACATTGTGAAGTGTGATTTTTCTTTTCTTTTTTGGTATTTTGGGGACATAATTCAATTGGTAATAAGCATTTTTATTCATCATAATATTGGACTAATAATAATTAAAAATTAAAACAAGCTTTCGGCTTAATACAATCATCTTCGCATCATAGTTTATTGGGTGGCCGTGCTTCTGTTTGGTAAAGAGCCAATATTACGTGCGGAATACACACATGCGGATTGGTTGTACCATCAAATATCACCAAATTTGCATCTATCTTATCTGCACGTATATATTTTTGCTTTTAAGAACTTCAACCTAGATTTTTTTTATCTTTGGTGGTTTTGATTTAGTTTATAAGGGTTTAAGGGGAAAATTTTTTATTTGAGAATATTTTAATCAAAGTTTAATAAATATAAGTTTTAGTATTATCATATTATTATGAGATAAGAGTGATATTAAAATTAATAGAATATTCATACATTAATTTCGATCTTTAAAATTCTCATCAATTGGCTCGTGTTCTCGATGGTGTGTCATGTTCGACTCGAAATGACTAGTTTATAAATTAATTAAAAAAATAAATGTAGAGGGCTTGATTCAAACCTACACCATTACTATGCAAGAAAAAACACAGAACCACATGAAACATAGAATCTCATGACGACACAAATTACAATATTTTAAACTAAGATATAAATATATAAAATATAGTATTATAATATATATATATATATATATACTTTTCTTATTTTGAGCTAAAGCGACTACGTTCGAATAAAATGTTATTTGTCTTCGACTCATCCATGATTCAAGCTCAAAATTTTGTTAGTTTTTGGCTCTCACTTAATAAATAATTCGAACATGAACTACTTAACAATTAAAACACAAACTGCTCCCGAACAACTAGCTTTTTTTAGAGTTTTAGGAAGACGTCTCTACTAACATTGCCTTTTTTTGAAATCCAGCGGTGCTGCGAGCTTATCATGAGCAAAAAGTGCTGTTTTGTTGTGACCATTAGCTTCACAAGTTGCACTACAAAAACAATTATATAAAAGTCAACAAATTAAAAATCTAAAGCTTTTTTAAGGAAAGAAGTCTTGCCAAGCAAGTTGGTTTCATGTCTCAATCCGCTTGCTCTTGTTTAACTCAATAATCATTTAATATCAAGCCATATTTTTTAATAAAGAGATAGTACTTAAGGGGTTGGTTTTTTAGATATATTTGGAGTTTAGAATAAAGACAATGAAATTTGTTAATATTATGAAAGAGATGCCTCCCGGCCGACAATGATTGATTGCTACTTGCCAGGACTATAGTTTGGATTAAGACATTTGATTTATGTATGGATATTTTTATTTATTTGAGTTGTTCAACCTTAGTCTTTGTAAAATTAGTAATTAGTAATTAGTGCATGTTCAAAGTTGTGGAGGAAACCCCCTATCAACTCCTTTAATGGAATGGCCAAACATATTATTTTTAATTTTAAATTTGTTTTATACTATATATATATATAGATATATAATGTGATTATAAAGACATGTGTGGCTAACATAATTTATAAAATTTTATAAGATTTATTAAAAAAAGGTGTGTGTGTGTATTGGGGTGTAAATGTGAAAAAGAAAAGAGGAAGTATCACTTAAATTGCATTTAACTTATATTATATATTACTTAAACTACACAAACAAACCCCCTATAAAAATGTGTAGCCATGTAGATGTACATGTATAACTTTGATGATCAATTGAAAAAAAATTAGATCTTCTTCTCTTTTAATTTTATCGGAACAATGACCAATATAAGTTTATTTTACCAGATAGTTAAAGGTCTTGCGAATAAAATCATTTTTAACCAATTCAATTTATGTCCCATAAATTGGTCATGCTTTTGTTAATCCCAAACAAATTTAATGATTCAAACACTCAAGGGCCTTTTGGAATTACTTCTTAATTTTAATTTTTATTAATATATTTATTCAATGCATTTTTATCTAGTTTTATTTTTAAAATACTAATTAATTATTAAAAAAAACTCAAAATAAATTTTAAATAATTTAAATCATCTTAAAAAATAAAGGAATACACATTTGCAAGTAATATTCTGGAGAAGTGGAGAATCATGTTGTAACTTAATTACGACAGGTTGAGTGGTCCTGGAGTGAGAAATTCATTGTTGTGAAGGTAGAGAGCAAGGCACCACGTAACTGTTACTCCCCTTCCAACTTACAATAAGGTAATTTGATTGTGAGTTTGTTTCTAAGCTTGCTAAACTGATCAGAGGTGTAACTTTTATTAATAATATCAGTGACCTGATAATGAGAGCTGATGTGAGAAATCTGAATGACACCAGAAGATATGTGATCACGTCTAATGTGATAATTAATTTCCACGTGTTTGACGCGTGCTTGGAGGATTGGATTGAGTGTGATGGCAATGACAGAAGTGTTATCACAGTAGATAGTTGTTGGTGTGTGGAGATAGATGTCAAAGTCCCGAAGTTATCGACAAAGCCATATTATGTTAATTGTGGCGCAGCTTCGGCTCTGCATTCAGCTTCAATGGAGAGGCGTGTGACATTCTTTTGACGTTGAACTGTCCAAGCATTAAGGTTGTGATCCAAGAAGGTACAGAAGCCTATAGTAGATCGACGATCGGTGGAATCACCTGCCCAATTAGAATCTGAGTAGCATGAAAGTTGTAGATTGTCGTTGATAAGATGAAGTCCAAAATTCAACATTCCTTTCGAGTAGTAGAAGTTTAATGATTTTGAAGAAATAGACTAATGATTTGTGCATATTTTGGCATATATAGTTAAAGAGCAATGTCGGGTCGAGTGATGCTTAAATATTGAAAAGATCCATCAAATTGACGATATTGTTTGTGGTTGTGATATTCTTGAAGAGATGGAGGATCCATAGTGAGTTTGTGAGGTAGAGTGGTGCTAATCGGTTTACAAGAGAGCATGTCGATTTTTTGTAAAAAGGGAAAGAATATATGGTGGTTGGTTAAGATGGAAGCCATGAGGTGAGGTTTGGATGTTAAAACCAAGAAATGTGTTAACTAAGTCTGATACTTTGAGATTGAATGTAGTGTTGAGATCAAGAATGATGTGTTCGATAGCGGTTTGGTCATTGTCAGTTATGAGAATGTCATCTACATAGAGAATGAAATAAATGATGATGGAGTAATGTTTATAGATAAGGAAAGAAGGATCAATTTTCATTCTAAACTGCTTTGTTTGGAGATGCGTGATAAGAGTTTTCTACCATTGATGGGGCACTTGTTTGAGTGTGCAGAGAGCCATTCTCAGCAAACATACTTGATGAGGGTATTGTTGATCAGAAAATCCTTGAGGTTGAGACATGTAGATTGTTTCCTCCAAAGGTCCTTGAAGGAATGCACTTGCAATATAAAGTTAGTGGAGTTTACACTGATTTTGAAGAGCTATGGTAAGAAGGATGCGAATGGTTGGAAGCTTATCCATGGGCCTAAAGGTGTCAGTGTAGTCAAGACCCTGTTGTTGTTTAAACTCTTGAGTGACAAGACAAGCTTTGTACTTAGCAACTTTTCCATCTGAATTATAGTTGGTGTGGTAGGTCCATTTACAACTTATTACATTTTGATGAGGTGAGTGATCTACCAAAACCCAAGTGCCTTGTTTGTTTAGAGCTTAAAACTCCAACGACATAGCATGCCCCAATGACTGTGTTTGGCGGATTGAGCATATGAGGTGGGATCAACATTGGTGGAGATGGATGTGATGAGGTTTAGAATTTGTTTCGGTTTGAGAAAGTCGATTTTGAACTTTGTTACCATTGGGAGTGTAGGGACAGTTGGGGGAGCTAATATGGTGGAGGGTGATGGAAGTATTGGAGTCGAGGGTTCTATGGGAGAAGTCGGGTGGGATAAAGAGGTGATGGGGTGGCATTGTTTTCAAACATGAAGGATTTGTGGTTACTTGGAGTTAAGGTGGAAGGGGGGAATTAGTGGATGAGGAGGGATGGTAGTATGGGAAGGAATTAATGATGTTGAGGAGGATTTGGTGGTCAGGAAAGATTTGTTCATTAAAGGTGACATAACGTGCGACTATGACACAATTAGCGTGAGGGTTGTAAAAATAGTATCCTTTATGAGATGAAGGGTATCCAATGAAAATGCATGGTGGAGCTATGGAGGAGAGTTTGTGTGGAGCTTGTGATTTTTGCAATGGAAAGCATAAGTAGCCAAATATGCAAAGATGAGAAAAAGTGGGTGGGGATTGATTGAGTAGCTCATGGAGAGAATTGTTTGAAGTGATTTTGAGGGCATGTGATTTATGAGATAAGTTGTTGTCATAAGTGTTGCTACCCAGAATTTGGGAGGTAGATGAGCTGTTAGGAGAAGGTTTCTTGTCATTTCAATGATGTGACGGTAATTCCGTTATGCTAAACCATTTTGTTGAGGTGTGTGTGGGTAACTAAATTGGTGAATGATACCATGCCTTTGAATATAGGCTTATAAGTTATGAGATATAAACTCTCTACCTCCATCAGAGCGTAGGATTTTGAGATTTGTATTGAATTGATTTTTAAGCATTTTATGGAATGATATAAGTTTGTTTGCAATTTCAAATTTGGCAACCATTGGGAACACCCAAATATAACGAGAGTAGTCATCCACTATAAGAAGATAATACTTATAACCTTGAAGAGACATAATCGGGGCAGGTCCCGAAACATCAACATGAACAAGTTCAGGTAAGCATTTTGTTTTGGAAGTAGAAATAAGAAAAGATAGTCTATGTCATTGTGAAGAATTACAATCATTGCAGAAAAAGAAAGAGGTGGGACTATTTATGGTACTTGTTTTGGAGATAGTTTTGGTAGTAGCGAGGTGAGGATAATCGAGCATTCGATGCCAAATAGCGGAAGAAGTAGAGGGAGCAT